ACGTTACCCACTGGGTAACGTTCATGAATACGGCCACAGATTTGCCTGGTCGACGCTGCCTTTGAACAGAAGCTGATCTCGACACTTACTTTGAGGCAAAAATATCTTGATACGGCGACCTTGAGGGCAGCGAACATAGATGAGATGGCGCATAGCTTCCGTCATAATTTGCATGCTCCATTGAAATGTCATAGTGATTTTGCTGCGAAGGAACTCATGAAGTATCAAAAAAAAAGACAGCAAACAGCAGAAGGGAAACTCTTACCCGTACATCTGCTTCGACCCTTCTATATTGAATCGCATGGGAAAACTGATATCTACCGTCTCAGCTTTCAGCATCACACGATAAATGAAGACGTTATGAAGATCAGCCCAGAAAATGTTCTCGATGATAAGACGTCTAGTATCTGCTGGAGTTGGACACACTGAAAAGCAAGTATAAGCAAATCCAAATCCATGATCTATAGATGATAACAAACATTTCCACTGGAACTCCGGGGCCCCTTCCCATGAGATTTCAAAGGGAGCTTCGAGATCTTCGTCGACATATGTCTTTCTCTTTGACCTCGGTGTCGTCGATTCATCTTCCTCAGCTAAAGTGCGTATTTCGGTGGCAGACAATGCCTTTGGAGACAAATCCATAATACAAAGTGTTCCAACAGACAATCATTCAAAATACTCTTCTCTTCAACTTTTCAAAGATACAAAAGAAGTTGACAACTACCTCCATGGTGTGAATCCATATAATCGTCATGCCCATCTCCAAAGCTTGTTTCACCTCGATTGGATTCAGCTTTGTCTTTCTCAGACTTATCGTCTTCACCGGCACCGTGCTCTTCTGCACCTTCGTCATCTTCACCGACATCATCGGCGATTTCGAGATCTTCATCGATGTCAACGAATTCTCGTGGTATACTATTTAGTATATCAAGTTTGATAGATGAATCTGCAGCCAGGTTCCTCTGGGCATATACACGATGTTTGTGCACCCGTGATTTGAACGATATTATTGCACGTAGAGCCAAATCCTAAATCAGTTTATTCGCTATCTCGATCTGCAGATCGACTACGAAATATGCGTTCAAATTCTT